AAATACCCCTTTGTTCTAGGGACTAAATTTCCTCATTAAAGCACATCGCATCAGTTCTCAGGCACCGAGTTGGGAGAGCGACGTAACGAAGTTCCAAGATGCTATCAACATGACTCTGAACTTAGCTGAAGGTAAACTTGCTGTACAAATCAATACAGGAAATGAGAAAATAGATTCTTTATAAAGATGCGACCATTCATGTTCGCATAAGAATGTTAAACTTAACTTGGGTCAGGAATAAGAAAGGGATTACATTACTCTCGTTGCCACATGGCTCGATATTCCAATTTGGTCTACGACTTTACAACCTTTTGTATTGGTAAACCCAGAAATATCCTCCTGTTGATCAGACTTGGTGCAAGGCTAACACTCAGATCAAATTGGAATTTAGTGTGGTAGGTTTTGCGGAGGAAGGAAAACGGAAGAACGCGTAAAAAAACTCTCGAATGAAGGTACAGGCGTAACACACTCAATCTCGTACCCAGAGCCTGCGTTTCTTCTGGCCTGCGGTGAAGAACGAGGGCTCTGGCATAATCCACTTTTTAAGACCAGGATTTCTTGGACTTCCGGTATAWYAGCGCACGCCAAAGACTTGCCAAAAACTTTTTAAAAAGATTTTCCCGATTTTTAATTTTTACTATGATTTTKACTTTGATTTTGACTTCGATTTAATTTTTACTTCGCTTATTTTGACCGTTTATATCTCACTTTCCGAAAATTGCGCATGCGCCAAAATATGGATTATGCCTGAGCTTTCGTTCTTCGCCGCARGCCAAAAGAAACGCAGGCTCTGGGTACGAGATTGTAACACACTCTACTCACATATAGTGAGTCCAGGAATCGATCCCAAGAGCCCCGCTGAGGTCAGAGGCGAGAGTAGTGATGTTATGGCACTCTCGATTCCATGACCTGACTTAGATCTGCTCAAGTTTAACTCAATRCCCTTGCAAACCTATTTGCATTCTGTCATTTTTTTCACAAGTTTATACAGACGTGAGCAAGAAAAAATCTGACCCTGCACAAGCCATCCAACTGCTGTCATCTGCTAAGCTTATACTGAAACAGCTTATTGCTAAGGCAACGGTAAGTGTTTTAAAATCATCTTATGTGTAGGTTAAAACCACCTCAAGCAGCACGATGTAGCGACCTGTATAAAGCGATCGGCCCTGCAGGATGCAGCAACCTGTAGAAAGCGATCGTCAACGTCTTGCAAGCGACCAGTTTGCAGTCATAAGCAACAAACATGATTCATATAATATTTGCACAAGGAAAACAAAGGGTTAAGCATTGTTACTTAATTGAAGAAGCTAAAAGCTTCTGCCATATTTTTTTTCCTTTCATATTTACTATTATGATGGCAAATAGTAATATATTCTCACTGAAGCCATTATCACGTCGTAGTATGATTAAGTTATGGGGCGAGATCCGCTCCTTGTCCCAGACAATACAACGAGATGGTATATATCCAAACTCCACTCGTAAAAGTGCGTAATAATTAATCCAGTAGTAATATGCCAACCTTTATTCTTGCTATGCTTAACCCCATATACCCAATACTCAAAAACCCACATCCAATACTCAAAACCCACATCCAATACTCAAAACCCACATCCAATACTCAAAACCCACATCCAATACTCAAAACTTAAAGCATAATGCCGGCTAATAATTCCACTTTATTATATGGCAAGGTAATTTCACGCGCTATGATTGGTCAATT